CAATTAAATCACGATTTAATTGTTGCTAGAGGCCTCTGGCTATCTCGTGGATGGTAGGAGTTCCCCAATACACCAGACATTTTAAATCCTGATTTAATTGCCCCAAAGGTAGGTTGAACAAGGTGCCTAAGGAGAACTTCTAAATCCTGGTTCAAAATTCAATAACTTCTGGATCCATTGCTTTTCTGGTGAGCATCTTGTATGCAAACCTGGAGCCAAGTGACATCTGCATCGAGGTCGTCAGGGGAGTCTTCGTTAGACAGGGCATCGTGCAGGTTGCCCAACTGCATCTCCTGCGAGTTGCGAATCTGCTGCGGCGATGCCTCAGTGCAGATCTCTCCTTGACTGGGCATAACAGAAAATGACTTGCAAGTAGCACGAATGCGCCTAAAGAATCGTCCCAATGAGGTCCTTCAGATTCAGCTAAAAAGAGTGACTTGCTTCCGGTTTTTCCCAACTGCTTGAAAGGATGAGCTGCATCATCCGCAGAGCTGACAATCAAGTCGACCGCTGTCACGGATGGGCTGGGACTGTGATGGCTACGAGGGCTGGCCCACACGTGGTCAGAAGGCATTCCACCCCCATAGAAAGATGCCTCGGGCACTAATCTGCAGCACCATGTCCAAAATTCGTATAAACTCTAACAACGAAAACGCTCGCATGTCACGCATAACAGGGGAATCAAATAGACATGCACCAGCATGGAGAAAGAAGTCCTCTGAGGAAAGAGTCCTGGCTAAGCAACCCAGTCGGGTAAGTGTTCCCACCCGCCAACTCGGCTTGCGGGCGAATGTTTTTTGGCGATGCGCCTTTGACACCCTCCCCCACTCCTCAAATGTCAACTCCCCTCCAACCCCGCCAGCCGTGTCCGCTCCATTTCTGCCGCCCTCGCCCAGGCGGCACCGCGCAGGCAGCTAAATTAGACTGAAGAATTTCCCTGCCCAGCGACTGAGCCCGTGTCCCTTGGAGATGCATCTAACAGGTGCAGCGAGTTTCGCAAGATCTCCAGGTCCATAGAGGGAAGCATAGGGACTTCGTCCTTGGAATGCACACATATCATGCCGCAAAACATTGCTTCGTAGTTATGACTTATGGCTAATGAAGTATACGGGCCGACGCACATGTACATTCCAGTTGCATACTGTATGTCGACATACAATGAATGCTTTACGTGAATTTGGGGTTCTAGGCATAAACAACACATGAGCTTTAGTCTAAACTCATGGTATTCCTAATAACCCCTGTAATGCTCCCCTATATACTCTCCTACCTATATAACCCCCTTTGAGGAGTTTAGACTACGGCTCATGTGCACTATCCTTGCTCAATGCGTTCCGCCAGGCCGGTCCTCGAAGGACCGTTCCAGCAAGGCATACATTGGACGCAACTTTGCTTTATTTTGGGACTTGGCATGGTTGCTGTTTTCTGTTTTGGGATGTTTTCTATGGAAGCCCAGTTTTTGTGGGATGTCATTATCAGGTGATCTGGTTAAGGTTTGGTTCAGGGATGCCTGGCTTGTCTAGGCAACAACACAAAGAAAACCGAAGCACACCAAGTATAAAGAATAGGCCGGTACGGAGCATATGGGGCTCACCGCAGGTTTCCTCAAAGACCTTACAGTATCTGCATGTAACTGGAATATCCTTTTTCGGAAAAGACCTCATGGCATGTGCACGCACGACGAAGAGCAGTAGCTGGTGACTACGAAGTCCAAGTTGATCAGTAGGCACACCACCTTGTTCCCACATGCAAGTAAGAAGAAAACACGCAGCAAGTCCCAGACAAAGGCAAGGATCCGGAGGCGGTGATTGTGGATTTCCCCGGAGGCCAAAAGCGGAGCCCCTCAGAACGTCCTCGCGGCGCTCCCTGAGTCGCGCATGCTCCGCAAGGGCAGCCTTTGCATCACGGTCAAAGAGCAATGATGAAAGATAGCCTTTAAAAGTCGGTGGCCATGGCAGCCGAAGGAATTGCAGCAGTAGAGCCAGAATTTGTCGTCGTCGTCGTCCCGCTGCTGCTGCTGCTGCTGCTGCTGCTGCTGCTGCTGCTGCTGCTGCTGGTGCCGTGTTGCTGGTTCCGCTGGAGCGTGAACGCGCAAAAAGTGCATTGAACGCCTGACTGCATCGGATGTGGCCTGCATGGGACGAGAGGCACTTCAAGCTGTTCTCAAAGGCCAAACAAACAAGTTGCGAGATGGATTGCGCTTTTGAGGCATCGCTCACCATGCTGACCGTCATTTCCCGAGAGCATTCCATAGCAAAGTTCATGCCCGTGCGTACGCAGTGCCAAAAAGCATCCATAACCAGACCATAAGAACGTGAATCCCCGAAAGCATTCAGTGACCAAGAACATCCATGCCCAAACCATGATTGCGTCCATCCTTGGGTGACCATACACGCTAGACCCGAAATTCTGGCCTGTGAAAACCCCTGAGACCGCATACCTGAGCTACGAGGCGATTTTTTTTAGCTGTGCCTGCTAGCCTTTCCTGGGCTCCTCTTATGCGAGCGACTCTGCGGTGGTGATGGCGAGGCTGAATGGGACTGCCTGGAGACTAGACTATAGATTCGAATGGCACTACTACCTACATATGCGATTTGCTCGGTAGGTCTGTTTGGAGCTCGGCGTTTCTCGAGGGATGCCATGTCATCCCAATCGTGAGTTGCTTCCCGCGAGTTCATAGCTCATATTGGAATTGCAGATGTAATATCTGTCCAGATTTATATCACCGTGTCAGAATGGCCTGGAGGTTTATGCCGGCGTTCACAGTCTAGTGGTTCTGAAACAGGGGTGGCTCTTTTTCCGTATGAGATGGTTATATTATGTCCCATACCTTGCGATAATTTCTCAGGGGTGCTTCTTTTCGAGGATCTCTCTTCCCGCGCTACAAGGAACATCTGTCAGCAGTGTCTGCTATGTCTTTGTCTGGTGAGTCAGTAGTCCTTGACAGATCTGGCTTCTTCCCGCAGTTGCTGGCGGAACTCGGTTGCCAGTGCGTTCTCAAAGTGCAGTGAATTGCGCAGAGCTTCGCAGTCTTCTGCGAGCTTGGCAGTCTTGTCAGCCTGGGACATGAATCCACAACACTACTTTGCTCCAGCATGGGGCAGCAAAAGAATCAACCCACCAAAAGGTTCAGGCTGACACATGTCACAAGCGTCTGTCTCCGAAGAAGCAGCATATGCAGCCAGAACTGCATGGGACTCAAGCACGATCTGCGCCAGGTTCACGGACTGCCAGTGCATGTGTTGGGCGTCCTCTGCCGAGCATTTTGCCTCTGAGCAAAGTAGGCTGGCAGTTTCCAGGTCCTGGAACAGAACGAATGTACCCCGCCCGCCAAAAATTCACTACCCCCAATATGGTACAATCGTTTATTGGAGGAAATGCGGTAGTTTCCCAAAATAGGGGACCCCAATAAACTATAGTCCTTATAGGGACCCCAAAAAAGGTACCCGTGATACTAGGAAACCCCCCATATAGTACAATCATGTATCAGGGGGCATGTCTATCAGGGGATATACGGTGTCCACAACAGCCAAGACATGATCAGGGCCTGGCCTCAATCACAGCTACCGGCATGCCGCAACCTTGGAAGACAGCCATCAATCAGAAAGCAAGATTTAGGGTTTCGCGTTCAGGGATTGATCTGGAGATTATGTTGGGTTTTTTATCTGAATGATGGAGAATCAATTGGACAAGAACTGGAAAACGAAATGGACAAGAAACTGGGATGATTTTCCAGGGGCTCATGCAAAAGAATGAACAACATAACCCAACTGTAACCATATGAGGGAGCAATGATAGCAACAGCACACATAACAATCAATGGTAGAGAAACCTAAACCCTGAACCCTGAACCCCTAAACCCTTAACCCCTAAACAGCTAATAGCCCAGCCGCCTTCAGCTTCCAGCCAGTCGTTGTACTCTTGGGCTCGTTGCATTTCCAGCTCACATCTTTGAAGGGCTGCTGCATGTTTTCGAGCAGCTTGCTGTTCCTGAAGCATCAACCCCAGCCTCCAGAAAAGCCCAGCATGACTGTTATTATTACTACCAGTATTACTGTATCATTACCGAAAAGCCACAAAAAAACATACGCGCACACAGACACAGACACACACACACACACACACACACATGCACCCCTATAATAATATCTAGAACTCTACAATACGTTTTCCAGACACCCAATCTCACTCCTTCCTGCCGAGGTGCAAACTCGATTTCCGATCGGCAGTTGCTCAGCAACAGCTCTTTGGCATGAAGCTCCTTCAGAGCTCAGCGCTTGCATGGGGATTTCCGGAAAAGAACGGCTCCCTTTGTTTCGGGTTTGGGTGAAGGATGAAAGTATCTCCAAGTACAACAATGGTGACTGCACTCTTCAAGAAATATGGGGAATCCCTGATTCCCATTGTCCATACATTGGTGTACCGAGGCTCTCACACGTCATAGCAATTATGAATCCTAGCTCGCGCGGCCCTGCCAGCAGGCTTGTTTCCTACTCTTTGGCCTTCCTAAATATAATCTTGGGGTATATTGGGGATAATGGAAAAATAAAATGGAAGCTACTATAGTATAGTGGGGTTTATATTGGGGATAATGGAAAATGAAATGGAAGCTACTATAGTATATTGGGGTTTATATTGGGGATAATGGAAAATAAAATGGAAGCTACTATAGTATATTGGGGTTTATATTGCGGATAATGGAAAATCAAACAGAAACTATTATATAGAGTAAGGATCCTGATCTCCTGGCACGGGCTTGTAAGATAGGTTTCAAAGACGCACGGACATGCTGCAAAATCATCTCCCCCAAGCTGAACAACTCTCAAATGCAGGTCTCCATAAATAGAGGGCCCAATCTGGATAAACTCCTACACTCATTATCCTGATTAAAGAGCTTCCCAAAAAGGGGCCCCATGTTTTTGGAAACCCTGAACCCTTTATATCCATACATACATATATATATATACATGTATCCTCGATATTCTTCCCCCTGGTTCTTCAGTTGCGGTCCTGCTTCAGCGTGAGGTCACTCTGCAGCGGGTTGCCACCGGCCATCGTGGGAGAGCCGAAAGTTGCTTCGGCTGCAGGATCTCTCCATATGGGGCGGTTGTCAAAATTATGGTACCCATAAAGGCAATATTAGGGAAAATAGTAGGGTTATATTGGGGTTGTATTGGGGATAATGGAAAAGAAAATGGAAACTACTACAATGGGTTATATGGGCGGTTGTCAAAATTATGCTCCCTTTTTGGATCCCTATTATAATACGGCACCTAATATTCAGGGCACCCAAAAAGGGACCATAGTTTTGACAACCACCCTATGAGGGTCTCCAAGGATTAGCGGTGGCTCGTTGGGGATTCCTGAAAAGTAAGGAGTAAAGTCTGTTTTTCGAAGCCCCCAAGTGGATACAGGCTAGTCTATAGACGTGTTTTTGACATGTTGTACCTGTTTGCGATAGGGCATTATCGGATTGAAAACCCAGAACTGAAAACTTGCAAAACTTCGTCCAGCGGAATCCACCTGCTTGGCACATGACAACACAGCGGCAGCCAGAGAAGGATGGGCCCACCA